CAAATTAAAGAATTTAATATTCAACAATTACATTTTTTGGTGTCTTTTTTTGCTGTAGATTGGGGAATTCATTGTGATGAAAACAGATTTAAATGAAAAATGGCCACCAATATGGAGAGTAGATGGAAAAACACTTCTTCAGAAGTTTGAACCATTTGAACAGAAAGGTGCAATGCTTTATCGTAACATTTCAACTGTAAGTGAGCATTTATGGCTTTGCTCCTACTCATGTATTCCTGTGTATGAAAAAAAAATCTAATTTATTTGTGTTTTTTCTCCTATTTTGTAGTATTCTGGGTGGTCTCCCCAAAATGGGCACATCTATAAGTCTGCTGAAGTTGTTTTCAAAGTTCAAACACGGTCAGAAACTGTGGTAGAATTCCTTCGGGATGAGATGGCTGATGATGATGAGTAAGTTAATGGTATTTGCTGTTAACCATGAGTTACCTTTAACATGTTGTTATTACCTACATCTTGTTTCTTATTTCCAGTGATGTCTTGGTAGAATTTGTTAAAGAAACAGCAAAGTATCAAGAAAACTTTGAAGTTTACATTCAAACACTCATCTCTCAGGCACTAGATTCCAACTTTTTGACTGAAATCTTCCAAGAAAAAGGTGAAACTCACATCCTCAACCATTGTCTGTTGTTTATATCATTGGTATGAAAAGTCTTACATTTGTTTGTTGTCTGTTTAATTTGTTTTACAGATGAGTACTTTCTCAGCAATGTAAAGACAGTAGATAATATTGTAGATGATAGGAGGAAACGTTTCTTGCAAGTTGTTAAATGGAGACCTGAGCTGGAGGCAAGCATTGCTACATGGCCCTGCTATAATGTCATTTATGAAATGGTTAAAGATGAACCTTTAAAAAAATGTGCCGCCTGTGATAAAGCAAATGTCTTTGCAAGAGTCCTTTTGTATGGGCAACCTTACAACTCAACAACATTAGAGGGATGTCAACCAGATCCTAGATTAGCAAGTGAAAAAGTAAGTTCTATTTGGTTGCAAAATGCTATGAAATTAGCCATGTATTTTTGTTCTGTTTTTAAAGGTGAGTATTCAATATGTGATGCCAAGATATTACTAAAATCCTCGTTATCTTTCAGGACTTTCTAACATGCAGACTATGCCTGAAGCGAATTGAACTGTATAATAAAGTTGCTCACCAGAAGTACCTGATGTATATTGAATGTGCCAAGCGTGTTAACGAAAGAAAACTAGCATATGGTTTTAATGACACTACTCTTATATTAAATAAACTTTTAGCAGATGAAAATTGGCTAAATCAGGTATATATACTAGAGTTTTCTGATTTTATTACTATTAATAGTTCTAGATTCTAAGAGATTTTTTGTGTTTTGCAGCTATTCCGCAGTGTAAGGATATCTTGGGCTCAAATGGACCGCCTAGAGCACTCTTTGTCCAAGAACTGATAAGGTGTTTTCTGTCACACCTATTTTCAATTGCGTCTCTATAATTCTGAGCATGGAGGGTTATCTTTAGACTGCTTTGTTCTGTGCAAGATATGTCAAATAGGAAAGACTGGACTATAAGAGTTCTATAGTTCTACCTTTATTTTCAATGCTCTTGTTATTTTTCTAAAGTGTTACCCTTACTAATTTTAGGGCAAGATTTCATCTGCTGTATTTTGCATTTAAACTGGTGCTGTTCACATCTTGTTGGTAAAACAAATTTCACATTAGATACATCATGTAATGTGAATGTATGATCAATGTGTTTAGTTTTATGAAAATGAACAGTGATTCCTGTCTTGAAATCTGCTTATGTGTGATTTATTAACTGGCAAAATTGATGCCTTAAACACAATCTAAGTCTAAGGATCAAGTCAATAGTTGTTTAATGTAGCTATTGAGTTTTTTTTGAGTAAACATTTTTGTTCCAATTTCTACAGATATTTCTTATCACTATGGTAGTTGTGAAATACCATTCATCACTAATTTGTTGCTTTTGCGATTTGTGATTCACTTTTTTATAAAGTTTCTTTACCACACTTAAGGAGCTGGTCAATTCTGATTTTTTTTTTTCATTAAGTATTTGACACCATTTTTGTAAATCCAGAACTGGAGAAATTTTATTTGTCTGAATTGTTGTTTTAATGGAAATCTACTTCAATTTTCTATGTGTTTTACTATGGGTTTTAAATTTTAAATATTGAAAGTCATTGGACTGTGAGCAATGAGTACCAATATGTATCATTGGAAGCCTTTTGTATTGTAGAATTGAGACACCTTTCTGTTTTGTTGCTCTTTTTCATAGCTAAGGCCACTTGTCTTGCTTCTTGAAGAACTCAGCCGTATTGAGTCTACGCAACTATGGAGGAAGATACGCATTGACAGTTGTCATGTATAGTTCTTAACTGAAATGGCAGGATTAGTTTCTTTAGAGTGCCCCAACGTAGAGGCCGTATTCAAACTAGTTACTATGCCTCATTGTTGGGTTATTTACTGTACTTTCAGTGTTATTCCATAAATGTTGTCGAGTGTACTGGGATGTGTTTGTTATCTGTTTACTTGCTTCCCACAAATGCTGTGATCCATTCATTGTTTTTGTTAGAAGCCAGTAAATTACTATTTTGCATGATGTGATATGTTGAAGGGTGAGTAAAGCAGACTTTTTTGCTGTGTTTGTGATATTCTCTGATCATAAGAGCATGCACCTTGGGAGCATGTTATGACTCTAGCTTTGTATTTTGTAGTCCCCATTAATGCATGGGCATGGACTAATTCTTTCGTTTTCAATTTTCTTATCCGAGTTTAGTGATTGGCTGTTCTGTCCTAGAAAGAAATATCTCAAATCAAGGACATCCCTCTATAATTATAATTTTGTGGTGGACATCTTGTCAAACAGCACGTGGTTTGTCTGTGTAAAATTAGAAATAAATAAAAAAAGCATAACAGCAAGAATTAAAAAGTTTATCTTGTGAACTGAGGTACCAATAAATCTGACAGGGATACTTTTAATTACATAGGTTACTTAAGTTTAAACCAGAAAAGCTGACTTACTTCTTTCTGTTACAAGCAGGATACCTGGTTTTGGAAACAATGATTTAATTGTTATTAATTATCATTATTTGCTTTGAATATTCTTACTTTTCTTATTATTCTGTGTTGGAACTTAAGAATAAACAGCAACGTGAATTGTGATTGACACTATGGTGTAAACTTATCTTCATGAAATATTCACCCTTTGCAACATACTGCTCGATAAAAATTCATACAGGCTACAATGTTGGAGTGAATACATAATTTAACTCCTTAGAGATTTCAATAAAGATCTGTAAAACTTTGTCATTGTTCTTCTGCTTTTGTATACCCCACTTCGGTTTCGAAGTCATAACTCTTTGAAACTATGAAGTAGGCTCAACCAAATATATTATTCTTCTAAAAACAAATCATAATTGTATTGAAAAAATAAAAAGTAAAATCATGAGATTGAAAGTACTTAAAGGAAGGCAAGGAAATCGTAACAATGTGCTCACACAGAGTACGCATTCCAGCTGTCATGTCCGTAACAATAATAGTGAGTGTGTCTAAATGACCCTAGTTTTGTTGCATAACGCGGACACTTGAACATCGCTGTTCTCGACACCACACAACTGCAAGGCCAAGCGGATTTATTTTTTTCCAAGTATGTCCTCTCTGCATGCCGCTGATGGCAGGAGATTGGAGCGGCTGCATCAGGAGAGTCGGGGATGGCGGGCAATCAGACATTCAGTCGGGACCCGGGGCCTGCCGGGGCTGGCGGACAGGCGTGGGCGGTCCCCGTCCCCGGGCCAGGGGAGGGGAGGGGAGGGGGTGGGTCTGCGGCTCCAGTCCAGGCGAGCTCCCTCCCGGCCGGGCCCGGGCGAGGCTAGCGCCTGCTAGCGCCGCAGCAGCGGGGGCCCGGGGGCCAGCAGCCCAGCCCCAGCCCAGCCTCCCCTCAGTGCCAGGCCGAACGTCCATGCGAGTGGAGCACGTCCGCGGCGCCGGAGCCGAGCAGAGCCGAGCCGTGCCGTGCCGAGCCGAGCGCAGCTGGCTTGTGCCGAGGCTCTGCCCCGGACGATGTGAACGCACAGCGCGCCGCACGGACATGACCACGCTCGACCGTGCCTAGTCAGGATGGTCCTCGTGGTGGCGGCGCCCCCGCCGCTCATGCTGCTGTTGCTGGTGCTGGTGCATCTGCCTCTACATTGTGAGTGAAAACGGCGGGGCGGGGCAAGGGAGGTGGTGGTGGTGGGGG